AACAAAGAGGCCTCTAATACAGAAAAACGCAATCAATGATAACTTAAGAAAAACATTAAGTTAGGGACAAAAAAAGAAAAAGCTTTGTTGGTTGTTATCTAGGGGTACAGTTTCTTAACTGGGCTACGCTAATATTGATTGAAACTATCAAATTGAAAATATTGATTAATAATTGATTTTTTAAAATGTACTTATCTATTATAAAATTAAACTATCCTAAGTTATCCAACCAAACTTGCTGATGGTGAAAAAATCGCATGAAGGTTTACTAATCGAATCGATAAGTTAGTTTCAATCAGTATTAGCATAGCCCAGTTAAGAAACTGTACCCTTATCTAGGGCTATGGTCAAATCAAATTCAATGTGATATTAGGCCTAGGCCTAGTAACTTCAAATCAAATCATTTATTGTCCATAAACACTTAAGAATATTGAAACGAAACGTCAATATTACCTACACCAATATTTATTGTTATTCATCCGATATAATATGCCTGTCGGAGGTTCTCTGCGGGCCTATACCATTTGAAGATGGCCTAGCTTATATTAGGTAGGCTACTGTAGCCTAGGTTTGTAGGCCTACCAAAATTTAACATAGAAGTTTAGGCTTAGGCTAGAAGGCCATTGAGGCCTAAGTTTACTTAAAAGGCCAGGCGCACACAGGCGATTTTGAGTCGCGCAACAGTTGCCCGACTAATCGGGGGACTGTTGCGCAACTCTCTCGGAGACTCTGAAGTCTAGCGACAGTTGAGCTGGAGTGCGCACACAGGCAACTTTTTAGTCGCGGATCTAGTCTTGAGACGTGTTGGAAATACATTCGTAACAGCGTTCCGAATGGATTTCAATGATACAGCCGTAGTATGTGCTTTGTTGCTGAAGTTTCGCGCGCGAAAGAAAAAGAGAAGATCCCATATATATAGTGAGCGACTTGTGAAAGGACAGTTTCAATGACTTTAAATATAGTCGGCCTCTTCTCAAACATCCTCATCACGCACATTCATACTTGTAATTTTCTAAAATCTTCACACAACAAGAGAGCAAACACTAAGTTAATGACAGTTCTGACCACGAGTAGTTGAACTCCTGGGGTGAGACTGAGCGACACAGCGACTATTTAGTTGCATGTGTGCGCATCTACACTTGTTTCAATGGATACCAAACCTGGAGCGACAGTCACGCAACAATTCAGTCGCAGAGCAGTCGCTGGCAAATTGGGTCCGGGAACATCGGTTGCAACAGTTGCCCGACTGTCCCCAGACTGTTTCCTTCGTGTGCGCACTCCAATATAAAACAATGTTGAACATTTTAGTCGGGCAACTGTTGCGCGACTCAAAATCGCCTGTGTGCGCCTTGCCTAAGTTAGGCTATAGGTACCTTGGACTTGAAATTTACAAATTGTAAGTAACTTATACCACACAAGTAAGATTAGGCCTAGAATACCTACTGTGACGCCGACACTAGGATGCATAGTAGCCTAACTTTTAAAGGCAAATATGAGTGAAGGGTGAGTGAGATGACAGCTTTGTTAGCCTACTAGGCCTAAATTCACCTCGAAGATGTTTTCAATACTTCAATACTTACACCTAAACGGCCAAAACGATAATTCCATTTCGTACATAAGGCTTAATCATTTATACGGCTTAAAAACTAGTTCGGCTGAATTCTTCGTTGTTGTCAAAATAAAAGATAAGGTTATGCAGATTCAAATGACATAAGTTTAGGCCTATCTAAGATTACCTTAATCGGTGAGTCACTCACTGGCAAAAAACTCACTCACGTAGTAGTGTGATCTTTTAAATTAATGTGCACAAGTGTTACTGTTACAATGTTTTTATCCAGTTTACCATAAACATGATAATTTCATAGTGCGCTGTGCTACAAGTTAGTATGAACTATGATGAAATGAATGACGAGAACAGACTCAGAAAATGTCACCAAACAAAACCAAAGCTAAACCACCTAACTAAACGCTCCGTCCGGCTCCGGGTTTGAGTCGAGTCGAGTACAGTCGTTCCGCCAATCATGTGTTGGCTTTTGCTTTTACAATACGATACAAGATACAACAGATTTTGATCTTCATCAGTTTGGGTAAACGTCATACTCAGCTGACAGCTGCTGCTAGCAGAAAAGTTGTTAATGATGCAAAGAGGTAACTAGCTAAGATACTATCATAGACAAAACATACTATAAGTAAACCAGGTAACTATTATGAGCGTTTTTGCATGGTTTGCACTGTATGATATGTGCTACTTATTTTATAATCTAAGTATTTTGACGATTGCAATGCATGTTATATGATGTTAAAAGCAATAAAGACATTTCATTTCATTTCATTTCATTATCACATCCTATACATACATACATGATACATGATCTCTCCCTCCGTAGTCCTTTGCGGAATTGGACAGGTCAGGGTTAGGTGGAGAAGTAAGGTACAGAGGAAACGTTCAATGGTACAGTCACGGCCACCTTTATTTCCAGGCCACGGCCTGGTAGAATTGGCAACATCGCAAAAGGGTTGTTAAGTGTCAGACTTTCCATTAGATAACAGGACGGAGACGTCAGCCACGGCCACCTTTAACTCCAGACCGAGGCCTTCGAAGTGGCAACATTGCAAGTAGGGTTGTAACAGCTGTTTTGTTAGGAGGGAGCTAATGGTATTTGCATGTTTTTTAAAAATACGACAGCTTGGTTACTGGGCTATGAAAATATTGACTACACTTCAAATGTACAAAAAAAGATTTTCAACTTAAATATTCGTTTTGGTTTTCAATTCTATATATTTTATTTTCAATCTTTTAATTAGTTTATGTTCATAAATTTAAATTTAAACGAATAATATCATAGCCACCTCTAATACATGTAGAGGTGGCTGTGATAATAGGCGAATTAATGAGCTGGTGTCACCTATCTGCCACGTTATCTTATGGGACGTCTGGTGCTATTCAACACTACTTGCAACGTTGCCAATTCTACCAGGGGCGGGGATTCTTTTGTGAAAATATCGGTGTCTTGACTCAGTTTGACCATAGACTAACCAACACAAGTTTACTTCTCATCCTTCTCATTGTAAATTTTGAATCTCGTTTTTCGTGTCTAGTTTATAAAAAAGTTGACACTGGGTGCTAGTGTCAATGAAATTTTGTTTCTATTATTTTAGGGATAATTTATGATTTGTGCTTTACCGTTTGGTTACATATAAATCATAAGTTCCTTATTCCAGAATTACAAATTTACATTGTATTGGAATAGTCAAGTTTAAAATTAAATTCACAAAAGATAAAACATAAAAACTCTACTAACTAAAACAGTTTTACCTTCTAGTAAATTTAACAACACAGAAACTGAACATAACTAGGGGAGGATTTATTGTCTATGATATTAGATCGTATTATTTGGTTAATTGAGGTTTTGAATGACTGAAATAACAAATTGGTTCTTCCAAATCATCTGTACGACGAGTCAATGCAGGAGTTCCACAAGGTTCAATTTTGGGCCCTGTATTGTTCAATCTATACATGGCAGACATCCCTCTTCCAGAAGACGCCTCATTAGCTCTCTACGCCGACGACACTGCTATCCTGTGCCAACATTCCGACATCCACGAGGCCACGTATTCCCTGCAATACTCTGTGGATCTTCTCATTAATTGGTTCTACAAGTGGAAATTTCGCCTAAATTCAACTAAATGTGAGACAAAAATATTTTCCTTGAAAAAAACATACATTGCCACATGAAATTCAAATATATGGTAACTTTCTACCTTGGAACCCTGATGACCAGGCCATAAAATATCTTGGAGTATGGCTGGACAAAAAACTTAATTGGAACTACCACGTTAATCAAAAACTGTCCCAAGGTTATGCACGCCTTGCAAAGCTTTTCCCTTTAATCAATAGGAAATCTACTCTGAAGCCAGCTTGTACAGTTCTAATCTACAAATCAATAATTCGGCCCTTGATTACATATGCATCTCCTATCTGGGGATTAGCTATATCAAAAAACAAACTCTTCAAAATTCAAGTGATTCAAAACAAAATTCTAACAATAGCGGTGAATGCTCCCTGGTTTGTTAGAAACAGGCATATACATGAAGAACTAGGAGTGTAGTCTATCTCGGCCTTTATTGAAAAAACCACCTCAAAATTTCTAAAATCTTTAAACGATGTTCCTGGTGCATTAACTTTTCATCTTGGTGAAGCAACTGAGAACAGGAGGCTACGTCGAAGGCTCCCTCAAGATCTATTGGATGAATGAAGCCTAAAGACGATTAAATTATTTTCTAAATTAATTATGTTACAGGGTGTACCAGGTTTGGGCAAACCCACGATGTTATTATAGTTAATTTCCTTTTAATTTTGTTAACACTTCTGTGTATAATGTCTACATTTGAACCAGAAATAAATGCTGTAAAAAAAAAAAAAAATAATAACAAGTAAAATTTGTAAACAAAACACGACCTCTACAGTACACCTTGCAGAACACAGAACCAACAATAAAATTGTCTTTAGCTGTTCAATAAGGATGAGAAATCTTCTATAAGGGAGTGAAGTGTTTGAAGTGTGTGTTTGAAGTGTGAAGTGTGTGAAGGAGTGACTTTGACCCAGACACCTGTGCTTCTAAACATACAGCTTAAGTGTGCGTGCGGACGGTTCACTACTATTACTATAGCTATAGCCGCACTATAAACGTAAGGGTGCCGGTTATTGGCATTGCTGAGGTAGGGGTGAGTTAGTCAAACTATAGATACCATGAGAGAGACGGTAACTTAATAGCTTATTCCACATATGAGAAATCCACTAAAATGGTAAATCCTCAGTGATTTGCGGGTTCGAATACCGGTTCCTAATTCGAATTATGTACAGTATTTTGTCAATTACCTGTCGATATTAAAAGTAATACGTTTGTTGGCTACACTGAAGCTGCGTGTCAGCCGGCATTTCGTTGACCAATCAGAAGTCGACAACACAAACCGTACAAGTGTTAAAGTACACACACAAACACAAGTAACATAGTAACAATTTCTTTCCCTTGTCTAGTTCACCGAGTGGTAGAAGATTTTGTATACGATGTCGCTTTTAATTGGATTATTATCTATTATTCTATTTAATTTAGTATCAGCCGATAGTGTTCTGGATTTCACTGACCAAGATTTCTCGCTAAGAATTGGAGAACATGAAACTGTGCTTGTTATGTTTTATGCTCCTTGGTAAGTTCAATAACGCCGGAACGATTTCAAATTATTGTCATGCCACTTAGGCCTACTTTAGTTTGGTTAGATTATTTTGCTAGACACATTTTAAAACTTGTTTGAAAATAGTTATAGCCTTTCAAACTCAGGCCTTGTCCTAAACTTAGGTACTTTTTCTGAAACAACTCTGTTAGATAGGCTAGGCCTAACTTTATTTAATGTGCAATTTCAAGACTAAAAAGTTAATGTCTGGCTTGCAGTCAATTGTACCTACTTTATGCTGTGTATAAGGGTTTTGAACCTCTAGATTGGGTCATCATCAATCATGAACCATTTCAATTAAGTTAACGGGTAGGGTAGAAGGGGGGAATTGGGTACTAGGTTTTGTAAAATGTACTTTGTATGCTAAAACAAATTGAATCACTTTACAACTTTTACGCCTTCATTTAAAGGCTTCCAATAGACATCTTTTCACTTATTTTCAGACCTGCAAGTGGTTTTGTTCTATTAAAAATATATATATATATATATTTCATACCAAATTACCCCAAAGGGGGGAATTGGGTACTATACCTATTATACATTAAAATGACCTATTAAATATTCTGGGAAAATGGGTGTTATTAAGAAAACACAAATAAGCATTTTGAGACAAGTTTTAGTCTCTTATCATTATTTTTGACAATTTTATAGAGCGTTAAAGTTAATTTTTGAAAACTTTACAGTTTTTCAAAGATATTTCTTTGTAATAAATCCTTATAACCTAGGGTTGTAAAAATTGTATTAATTGTAGCTTCTTAGACATACTTAAACATAAAAACAAGTTAGATTATTCTAACTTATTACAAAAAAAAGTTATAAGAAGACAAAACTTTGAAAAACTCTTATGGTCTTCTGCCTCTAAGCCGATGTGACGGGGGAATTGGGTACTAAGCCATAATTTCTTTAATATTCAATGCACAGAAGTCATACCAACCTAAAGCAATTCTTAACTACCCCCTAAAAGCATATTCTAACTAAAAAAAACAGATGTTCTGTTATCAGGCAAAAAAAATATAGTACCCATTTTCCCATGAGGGGGCAATTGGGTACTAACATTTTCAACCCCTAAAAAATACACTTTTAAAAAAGTCAATTTAAAAATTCCTAAACTTCAGAAAATTACTATTAGTATGTATACTTTGCTCTTATGAGATAAAAGTAAATATTTTGCAGTAACTGAAATTTGTATAGTGTTTCCAAGGTTACTCGGGCCAAGTTTGATAGGCACTTTAAAAATTGAAAAACGTAAGGGGTGAAGAAACTATTTTTTAACTCGTTTCAATTTCAAGATAACAACCTAAAATAAATTTGAGGTTTATAAAACATAACTAGCTATCACTACAGATTTTTTAATTGTTTCTAATAAAAGCATGTATTTTTAAAAAAAATTCAATAAAGTTCATACCCAATTACCCCTAATACCCAATTCCCCCCTTCTACCCTACAGTTTCTTAACTGGGCTATGATAATATCGATTGAAACTATCGATTCAATTAGTAAACCTTCATGCGATTTTTTAACCATCAGCAAGTTTGGTTGGTTAGGTTAGGTTATGATAGTTTTATTTTATAATAGATAGCATATATTTAAAAATATTGATTATCAATCAATATTTTCAATTCGTTAATTTAAATCAATATTAGCATAGCCCAGTTAAGAAACTGTACCCGTCACAATGTGGATATTTATAGGATACACTGTTAATGCGATACTCCCTACTTAGTGTGGATTAACGTCCGCATTAGTGAGTAAACTTACTAGGCTACGACTATCCACAGTGCTACCGGTATCCTGATAATTAGACCAATTCGTTAATACGGTTACCAAGGCAAAAATGTGGTTCGGATTCCACTATAAACTGTACTGTAGTCCCTTAGTTGCCATTAACTTAGGGGTAGCCTATAGCCTAGTTTCTTAACACTCCAAGTGTCCAAGAGTGTGTGTGTGTGTGGGTAATGGTATTAATGTCGGCCCATTTATTGTGCCATCGCAGGGTTTTATTAAAATGTACGGTATCTTAGAAACTTAACAATCTAAAGTACCGTATACTGTTTTATATATAATTTTGTTTGAAAAATTATGGGCTTCAATGTAGTAGCCTACAAGTTATTATTAGAAAAACAATTTGAACAATTTTTGTGGGGTTAACTTAAAATTTCTCTAAAATTATAAAATAGATGAAAAAAATGTACACCCTACCTATGTTTGCGCTCAATAAATTTTTTTATAGGTCTACAAATAGGCTACCTATTTTAAAATAGCCACTTTGATCAAAATTTTATAAGGATTACGGTACAAAATTATAATAATACAAGGAAGTAAATTTGCAAATAAATAAGTTATGGGTGAAAAAAAGATTACGTACATTTAGCGTTTAGCTAAGAATGCTTTGCCTAACCATAGCTAGGAATCTGGCGGATAATTTACATCAAAATCACTAGGCCTACTTCGTCAGGATTATCAACCAGCCCTTCTAAATCACTTGGGCCTAAATCTTCTTATAATGCACCACATATATCACTACTTTTTATTTTTAACACTAAAACAATGATAAACGTAATAAAACACATCAGTCATCAGTGCGAAAAACCAAGTTGTTTACAAATACGCACGTCATCTGTCTGCTACAATATTTTCGGAACTAAAATGAAAAGCCTCTAGAAACAGACATCAGGAGAAAGCTTAGAATCTGCTGAAAACAACGATACCAATCTCGATCCAGTTCCATCTGATTCTGTCAGTCCCAGAGCCTTCGCCGTAAACGATGTTTGTGTGTCGATTAGACGACGCTTAACACTCGGCTCGGGTTAACTGTGCTATGCTAATATCGATTGAAACTGTCGATTCGTTTAGTAAACCTTCATGCGGTTTTTTCATTAATCATCAAGTTTGGTTAGTTAGTTTAGCTTATGAACCACCATGGTTTGGTTTATCTGAACCACGTCCTCGCACCTGCACCCAGGCAAACAAAATGGGCAGAGACGAGGAGCGGCTCACAAAAACTACCAAACAACCAAGAAAACCGAGGAGGAAGGTTGAAGAACAATGCGCCATTTGAGAGAAACCAGCTGTAATGAACATAAAAAAAAACAACAAAACAAATCATCAACAATATTTGTAAAACAGATTCTCAAAAACTCAAAGAATTAAAATTCCCATCTATCCTACTAGCTCACTGCCATTTCTTGAGTTAGCCTATCAAAAAAAATTTTAATAGTACAAAGCTATTACTAATTTTAAATCCCTTCTAAACAAAACAACAAATTACAGTTAAATAGTCTAACTATAGGCTAGAGATAAGTTACCTTTCCAATCTTGAAATGTAGGTTTTGTCAAAATTAACCTTAATTAACCTTACTTAGGGGCCCCTACGTGATTAAAAAATCAAATGGGCTTTAATTAATAAATTGGCTAGTGAATATAATCATTTGGAAAAAATAACAAGCAATAACTTAGGCCTAAACTTTAAGTCTCCATTTTGGTAACGGTGAAATTAATATCTACGGGTACCTATATAAATAACAATAAATAACAAATAGGGTGTAACTTAAGTCCCTCAGTCCATGGCGGCAACAATAGGCCTAAATAAAAAGAAAAAAACAATTAACACACAATAACTTGCGGTAGTACGGTTTGGTGGGTCAGGCGGACGACACCGGAGGTTCCATAAAGCTGGGCGGAGAGGGGGCCAGAGTCCAAAGTAGGATAACTGTACAGTACCCGCCATTAGCTGTCTGGGCTATTAATTATCAGCTGTGTCTAAGGAATAAGTTATGTCAGCCTTACGACACTATGTCACTAATACGACTACAAGATCGCGGGGCTGCTCATCCTACACTCTTTTCCATTCATACTTGGCTTAAAATACCTACTTTGTATGGTCACCATTTCAATGAAAAACTATTAAAAGTATGTGCATATTTTAACCCAAATATGAGTGAAGAATAAAATTGTTGATTGGTTGATTCAAACTTAGTCTTTTTGAAGGAAGTGCTCTTTTGTCTTCACGACCCATGCAGCCTATCTTAATAATTTATTGTTACACTTTGGTTTGCAGGTGTGGACATTGTAAGAAATTAAAACCTGAATTTGAGAAGGCGGCTAGCTCTTTAGAAGGAAGCGACCCTCCGATAGCACTCGCCAAGGTAAATTTTAAACCAAGAATTTGAGTAGCGTACAATATTATAACAATGTAGGCCTAAGAGCATTAAGGAAATCATCTAACTTACGATAGGCCTACATAATTTCTGCATAAGAGTTAGCCTAACCTGCTTCTATAGCCTAGCTGAGTTCCTTCAGGAATGGGAACTTTCTATTAGAACCAAAAAATGAACATTGATCTTATTTGGGCATGATGGGAGGGGCAAGTCAAGGTTTATATGGATTAGTGGCTGCATTAAGTGTTAGCTAGGTTAGTTCAGGAAGGTAAAGTGTAGGTTATAGACTATCGGGTTGTTAATTTAATTGTAAATCCAAGTTGTTTTTAAGCTATTGGAGCTTAGTTGGTTAAACAATGAGGATAAGATATCGAAATTGTTTCGTTAGTAAACAAAGTTTTTTGGTTGTTTTTTGGGTTTATGGTCAATTCATATTCATCGTACTGTACGTCATTTTCAGAATCAGTGTTGAATTTAGAGAAGAATGAAAAAAAGATATTCAACAATCGGGCGTAAACCCTAAAATGCAATGCCAACACAAACATACACCCTAAGTTTATAGTGTAAATTTGTGTGTTAAGTTAGGCCTAAATGTATCCTTATTCGTTGCCATAAGCTATAGGAATTTGTAACTTTTTTAACTGTTTAACATCAATTTCTATGTACGGTAGGCTTTCCTTTTTTCACCATGAAAAATGCAAATTTTTAGCCTAAATTGTAGGTAGGCTTACTGTGTTTGTCAATATCATAAACAAGTTTATCTAGCTCGGCCTGTAATATTTGTACTTAACTTACCATGGTAATCAATGACAAATTCTCCCTGTCTTAGGTGGACTGTACAGAGGGAGGAAAGGAAACTTGTAACAAGTTCGGAGTGTCAGGCTATCCCACCCTGAAGATCTTTAGCAATGGGGAAGTCAAGAAAGAGTACCAGGGCCCCAGAGAAGCAGGTAACATAATTGTTTGTGTAGTTTTTATTTATGTTGATCAAAGAAAACTTTGAGGCAGGATTAGGGTTGCCGTACATCATATTTTCTCAGGATTCGGTTTTGGTTTGCAGCAAATAAAATGTTCTGGTGTCCACAAAAGGAGTCTCAGGTAAATATGTGTTCTTTGATTTTGAAATTGAGTTTGAAAAACTCAGCAAATTGCTTGAAAGTTTGTCTTAACATTTCTTTTATAATGGTTAAGTTCAAATTGAAAATATTATAGTCTTGTTTATCCTACCTAAAATGGCAGCAGCAAGGATGGATCAGAGGAAAAATAGCAAAGAAAAAACATTGTTAACGTTTTAAAGTGATTAGCCCCCTGACACATTTCCTCTGTCGTTACCCTGTCCTAGGCTTGTCTCCTAAAACCATCAACTTTGTCCTGTTTTAAAGCATTCGTCACAAATAGGCTAACTAAAAATAAATAACACATTTTTAACTCCACTAGTGTGGAGATAAGTGTAAAATGGAAGACATATGCTTCGGAATAAATAAACCAAATAAATAGTTTATTATTTGAGTGAGTATTATTTAATTTTAATTCTGTTAGTTTTGTCTTAACAAAGTTGAATTTATTTTGGGATGATTTCAGGTGGCATTGTTAAGTACATGAAGTCACAAGTTGGTCCTAGTGCAAAGGACCTCAAGACTGTTGAAGATTTTGACAAGTTCCTTGCCCAAGAAGAAGTGGGAATTGTTGGATTCTTTGAAAAGGAGTCCGATTTGAAGGGCGAGTTCTTGAAGATTGCTGACAAACTGAGAGAAAAACATCGCTTTGGTCTGTCAACAGCTTCCGCAGTCTTGGAAAAACAGGGAGTCAAGTAAGTAAAAAGTTTGTATGGAGAGTTGACGGTTTTCTGCTGGGAACTGTCACGGTACACTTTTTTCAAATTTGGCTATCATGTCAGGATGCATTATAAACCCCTTGAACCCTATGTTTATAGTATTTTGTATAAACTTGTATACAGGGTGTCCCACAAAGAGGTTAATACATTTGGTATCATATTCCTGGCACACAATACACTGAAAGCTTTGAACCGATACACTTACTTACTTACTTTTACTCGTGTGGCCATTGAAAACCGAGGCGGTCTTTGGCCTTGCCAATCATGTGCCTTCAGAATCCTCTGGCCTCTGCCAGCTCCTGGTCTGCTCCCATACTCCTTAGGTCCTTTGTAACCTCGTCAATCCATCTCATCCTTGGCCTTCCCAATGGTCTCCTTCTCTACGGCGTACCTCTTTGTTTTATCATCTCCCTCTCACCTCTGTGTTGAATGTGGCCCAGCCACCTCAACCATTTACTCTTAACCACTCCCACAATGTCTGGTTCTTTATATAATTCCCTTTAGTTCCCTGTTTTTTCTTATTCTCCACGAGTCTCTGTCTTTTATTGGTACAAAAATCCTCAATAGGTTACTTTATTGTGAAAAGTAATAAGTATTTTTTGTGAAAGACCAAGACACTGATCTGTATAGCAGTACAGGTTGCACTATAGTTTTATACATTCTTATTTTGGTGGTTAAGTTTGTTACTCCCAGATATTTAAATAACGTTTGCTTTGAGGAACCTGTAGTCTAATACTTTTAAGTGGTCTTCTTCATCATATTGCCTGTAGACTTATTTTCATGTAGGTTCGTTCACTTTCAATTTTTCCGTGAACATTTTCTTTTGTAACTGCGGAAGATGTTCTCAGTTTTAACACAACCATGGAAGAGAAAGAATATATGTCCACACAAATGTGGGAAATATTTATGATTTCGTTGTGATTTCAGTAGGTGTATAAAATGTCTCTGTGATCTCAGAAGATTTTCATTGTAAAAAGGGTTGTAGGCAAGGGCTACTATTTAAATTAGGGTTAATTGTAGGAATATTTGAAATGTTCTTGGAGCGATGTTTGGAGCAGCCTAAACCATACTAATCTACTAAATAATCCACTTAACAGCCTTTAATTGTTTAACTGGATATAATTTTAAATAATTTTAATTTTAATAAATATGTTCTACAACTTTTTCAGGGATGGCATTGTCTTGTTCCGCCCCAAGCATTTGCAAAGCAAGTTCGAGCCCAGCACAGTTACATACGAAGGCAAGCCAAGCAAGAATGAAATTGAAATTTGGATCATCAAGAACAAGTAAGTGTAGGATTTAAAATATATTTGACGATTACTATCCATATGTTGTTTAATGATGATCAGATCAGTTAAAGAATTAATTCCCAAAAGTGCAACTTAAAGTCAATTCACCCAATATTAGGGCTACATAGAAACAGCCAACAGGTAAGTTAGAATCCATTAGAAGAGTTATATTTAAAATACACATACAAGAAAAAAATTAGTAGGCCTACTACAGTATAGGCCTACTTGAAACACATCATAATTCATGTTAAACTTATAAATTGAACAAAAAAAAAACAATGATATGATTTGTTAACTTAATTTAACAAATCAAATCATAGTTTTCTTGTTCTTCGTTATACTTAAAGAACATGTATTGAATAAAGTCAAATCAAATCAAATCAAATCAAATCAAAATGCCTTTATTCTTGAGCGCTTCTCAATACAATATTGGTTTACAGAATAACTCACGTCACTAAAACTAAACATTTAAAAGTCAAATATCTAAACAAATTATGTACAAGAATAAAAAATCAACAAAAAATTACATGCCTGCTTTACAATGTATTTTAACCTTTTTTTTGAAAGCCAAGGCCGAAAGGCTTTTGATCTGATAGGGGAGGTCATTGTAAAGGGTTGGGCCAAAATAGGAGAACCCCCTCCTACCTATTTCCAAATTAACTTTTGGAAAGTGGAGGAGGGTGTCCTGCCTAGTGCCCCGTCGAGCAATTGCTCCACGTGTCACAAGTCTCTCCACCAGGTATTTTGGTTCTCTGTGAGATAATACCCGATGGATGAGACAACAAGTTTGCACTCTGCATACAGCATCGGCTGGCAACAGACCAGCAGAATCCCGGAAAGAGGATATGTGTTCCCGCTTATGAAGTCCGTAGACAAAACGAACTGCGGTGTTTTGCAGCCTATTAAGTCGGTTCATATCCTCCCGGGAAATACTGTTTCCGTATGCAGGAATGCAGTAGTACATCACTGACAACACCAGAGACTGAACTAACTTCAGTTTTGCAGTCTCTGGAAGAATCGAACGGAATCTGTACAGTCCTCGCAGCCTTCCCAAAACAATTTGAGAAACGTAAGTGATGTGGTTGGAGAAGGTAAGACCACTGTCAAGAACCACGCCCAAAGTCCTGACAGTGTCACAAACCCTAAGCTTTTCATTGTCAAGTTGAATATGCACTTCACCGTCGCAGATTTTTTGGATTACGATGGGTGGTGATCCAATGTGGATCACTGTGCATTTTTCAACATTCAACTTAAGGCCGTGCTTCCTTGACCACTCACTTATTCTCTCAAGATCCATGTTTGCATTCTCAAAGGCGCTGTTGAATGAGCCGATTGGGTAAGAAAAATGCAACTGGCAGTCATCTGCATATGCATGCACATTACAGTGACGTACACACGTGGTAAGGTCGGCTGTGTAGAGTGTAAACAAGATGGGTCCCAGACAACTCCCCTGCGGGACTCCCCTAAGCTTTTTAAGGGGAGGCGAGGTGTCTACACCCATCCTGGTTACCTGGGATCTGTTTCCCAAATACGACCTTAGCCAGCCAATTGCCACATCCCCAAATCCAAAATGTCTCAATTTGCTGAGTAGCAAACCATGGCTGATGGAGTCAAAGGCCTGCGAGTAACCAAGCATGATCAAAGAGCTACACCGGCCGCTGTCTCTCGCCGCAAACAAGTCTGCAAACAGGTTTATCAATGCAGTGTTTGTGCTATGATTTTTTCTAAACCCAGATTGAAATTTAGGCAATAAATCTTCTTCATCAATGAAATCCGTAATTTGTCGAACAGTTATCTTTTCGAGTACTTTCGATAGAGCTGGCAGGACTGAAATTGGCCTAAGTTCATTCAAATTAGAAGGATTCTCCTTCTTAGGCAATGGGTGGACGATACTTTGTTTCCAGGTTCTAGGGAAAATTCCTGTAGCTAAAGATGTATTTATTAAATGTGTTATGGCCCCAATAGCAAACGGACTAATGGATTTTATCATTAAAATACTTATTTTATCAATTCCAACAGCTCTGGAAGTTATCTCATTCATAGCGGATTTTACTTCATATTCTGACACAGCTTTAAATTTAAATATATTTTTATTGTCATTATGAGTCGTCTTTCTGTACGTATTCATTATATCTTTGTCCACATCATAAAATGATCCCATTTTTACAAAATATTCGTTCATATCACTGACATTAAAATCTTTAAGAATCGTATTATTGCTCTCTTTACTCGAAATATAATTTTGTTTAAGGCATTTCCAGAACTCTTTGGAGTCTTTACAGTCAGACAATTTATCTATGTAAAATTTCTTTTTAGCATGCCATATAGCACAATTCAATTGATTTCTAATTTTTTTATACTCCGTCCAATCATAGTCATTTCTTGTACTCAAATACTTTTTCTTTAACTTATTTTTTAAACGCGTTAGTTCTATTACTTTCTCATTTCTCCATGCTGCTTTTTTCCTAGTCATTCTCTTTGTAACAAGGGGTGCTTGAATATCATAAATTCTCCTTACATTTGATGTTATGAAAAAGTTCATATCATTAACACCAGTCATTTCAGAAACTTTTTCCCACTCAACTCTCTTAATTTCCTCAATTGTGTCAGATATATTGAATTTAGAGAAGTCTCTGTATGTGACAAACTTAGCTACTCTTTTCTTCCTTTTATACGTAATATTGCAGTATACAAGTTTATGATCAGTGATTTGTTTTTGTCTGCTATCCAATATACTTGCAGCATCAATCACCCCAATCATCTCAAACTGAGTTGCTTTATTGGTAATAATATGGTCAATTAATGTGGCTGATTTTTCTGTAACTCGTGTCGGCTTGGTAATATGTTGAATGCAGTTGTATAATTTAAACATGTGACGGAGGTACTTAGTTTGAGGGCAAGAGTATGATAATAAGTCGATATTCAAATCACCCAAACATATGACGGAGTCTACTCTTACTGCACTGTCTACAAACATTGCCTGAAACAAAGAGCCGAGGCCGGTATAGCTAACATGCGGTGGTCTGTACACGATTGCCACGATTACTTTTGCACCCCTAGCTTTGACCACTACAGAGATAAATTCTATGCCTGGATCAATGCCTTGCAAGTGAACTTGCTCGAAAGCCAAACCGTTCTTGATGTAGAGTGCTACACCACCTCCAGTACCAAGAGCTCGGTCTGCCCTCAGAAGGATGTACCCAGGTATCTCATAGTGGTCGGAGGGTGTGCTGGGACTGAGCCAAGTCTCAGAAACCCCAAGTAAATCAAAGTCGAGATCAGTTGTCAGTGCACACAATTCGTCAAAACCTGTGTTCAAGGAACGGATGTTTAAATGGGCAAAACACAGGCTTTGAATTCCTCGTTTCCCGCCGCCTGGCAAGGCTCCGGGCCCGGGACAGCTCCCTGTGGAGAGAGATCAGCCGGGACCGGACCCAATTCCACGTCGGAGGAAACAACTTCACTTGGAGTTTTCACGTCTAGACATCTCGTCATACGCAGTGCCGCCGTAATAAGAACATTAAACTTATAAGCTACAAATTACAAAATGCTTTTTAACTTATATTGGCCTACATTTAGTTTCCAGGCTAAAATAATTTTGAAACCAAAAGTTATTACTAAACATGATGAAACTTTAAACCTTTTCCCTAATTTTGTCATGGAATTCAAATTAAAATCATGTACTGGTACTAATTTATGTAAAAAAATCTTCAAATAAAATGGTAATTGGGATTAAAAAACCTTTCAGCGTTCTTTTAAATTTATTTTAATTGTCCTCTTCTCTTTAGCCTATAAAAATCGGTAAGTTAAGTGTTGAAAAAAATCCTTTAGTAAAAAAATTGTTATTTAAAAAAAAACTAGTTTATGTCGGGTTGAGTTAATCTAGCGTCATAGTCGCCAGAATAGCTTGAAGTGGACAATTGAATTTGTTTTTCATATGGACGGATATTTCATAAATATAATGATTAGGTTCATATAAATGACTGACAAAGGTAACATGATTGCACAACATAGATACAGTCTTACAAAATATGATATTTTTAAATATAAAATTTGGGATAACTTTTGGAGCTATAACAGATCTTCAGAATTTGTTAGTGTTTCGTAGTAGGAGGAAGATGTAATTTGCAGATATGAGCACACTACAGTAATGAGTCTACACAGCTAAAAACCATAAAAAAACACTTGTGTACAGTAACCTACTTGGAATTGATTACACAGTGTTGGCAGTAGTGTGAATAGCAGAAGCTTAGGCCTACGTTTAATTATTATAAGGGACAAATCCCTCAAAAGTCAACGATTTTCATTTGAGCAAACTGGTAAGACGTATTTTGTGCAAATAAGCCCAATTGTAATGGACTAGCCTAATTAATGTTGTCATAACATTTTAATTTTTAACTATATATCCTATGCATTGTAGCCTATATGCTTTGTAAATATAACACAATTAAAAACACCACAAATGTAAAAACTATAGCACAAATTGAAGAGGATAGCAGGCTCACATGAATGGGGCTTTTGAAAACTCTCTCTTCCTTAGTTGAAAAAATGCTGTCAGTGACAGTAAAATAGTCTAATGTTTTGTGTATATAGTTTAAAGTTTTGTGTTTCCTGTGCCAGTTTGGACTCTTTCCCATTCAGGAAAGCCTGCTATCCTCACCAAATATCCTAAAAAACCTTGGCCCTTGTGCTCTATGTTACATCCTTAAGTGCGAATTGAGCAACTTTTGATCTATTATTGAGCCAGTGTTTAATTATTGTTTTTTCCCCGCAGCCACGGATTGGTTGGCCACAGAACCCGTGACAACAACGCAGACTTCAATACACCTCTGGTTGTAGCTTACTACGCAGTTGACTACGTGAAGAACGTTAAAGGTAATTTAATATTTTAATTTGAAAACTCAAGCTGGCTAGTTTAATTATTTTACTATTATGTATTATTTCTAAAATTATTTAATAATTACTATCTAAAATGTTGGAATCGTTGGTTCCAAAGGATTGGAATTACATACTCCGCTGTCACTTGTAGGCTATAATTGAAACCAGGGTATTTTTTCCACTTTTTTATGAGGAAGGTCTTGCGTCAACTCTGATTGACAAAGCTGCCATTGAAGATGAACAATTCAAATATTTTTTTGTTAACACTTTTTACTACTCCTACGATGACTCCCCAGTATGTTGAAAGAATTTTGCTAATATTTGTCATCACTGATTAGTATCATTGAGTATACACATATGAAGGGGGACAGATAATTCTAATGTTATCAATTTTGGTGACGTAGATTGGGCCGCTGACCTAGGATCACAGTAGTCGGTCGGTTGTGCAGTGCAGAACACCTTTAAATCATTTAGTATTAAAAATGCATTTTAAAACAACAAAGAAACTACGACCAAATAAAAAATTTAATCAACATAAAAATCATAATTTCATAACCTACAATAAAGGCAATATTGAAAAAAAACAACGAAACTGACTTGCCGACATGCCTGAGGTGGTGTAGTTCGGGTTGCTGAACAGCACTGTTCAGGTAACGGTAACCTCAATTGAGTGACTACTATAGTACGTGTATACTCAATGTTAATAGATAGAGGTTCCCACCTTGACAATTGTATCTGCTAGTCAAACAAAAGTTTTGATTTTAGGCTACACAATCTTTTCTGATAAAAAAACTTGACCAGGATTAATATTAAACTATTGAGGCCAACATAACCAATACATCGTTTGTTGAAATCTAACAGTCTGGCTGGTGTATGAAATTATACCAATGTTTTGTGGACACCCTGTATACTTGTAGGCTGACAGTTGAAATTCCAAATTAAGTCCAAGTAAGTACACAACACAAACTCTTAATCTAACCTGATTACTTTTCTGTTCAGGAACCAACTACTGGAGGAACCGAATCCTGAAGGTGGCCAAGGATTTCAGCAACGACTTCACATTCGCTATCAGCTCCAAGGACGACTTCCAACATGAGCTCAATGAGTTCGGCTTTGACTATGTTCCTACAGAAAAACCATTGGTGTTGGCTAGGGATGCAGACAAGAAAAAATACGTCATGAAGGATGAGTTTAGGTGAGTTAACTGTTTGGACGGTCCTGCTCAAGACAAGTAGTAGTTGGACAGTTAGTTGTTAAACTACTGCACAAATCATTTATTCAAGATTTTTCTGCGATTAAGGATTATATCCCTGATGACATAGGCCTAATTCATTATTTTGGCAACAATACAAGACATAATTTAAATAATATTTATTCGTGATTTGTGTTTAGGAAAAAAATAATAACTTTATTGTTGTTTACAAGTGTAACTGAACTAAAGTTAAACCTGTAACAATATAAATAATCCCCTAAAACCTCACACAAAGAAAAAGATCATAAGTGTGGTTTAAACTTGGATATCAGTGAGTGGTAATTTTACCTGTTTAAAACCGAAAACTGATAAAGCAAAAACTGAACCGAAACCGAACCAATAAAAGTTTCAACTGACAAATTACTACTTAACAACTTGAATATTTAGTGGAACCTCAATAACAAGATCCTCAATAACAAGTGATCCTTTATAACAAGTGTGGTTTTGATCCCTAATCATATGTTATTGCAAACCTCGTTAAGAAGTCAACCTTGATGACAAGTCTCATTTGAAAATCCCCTGAAAAGTCTTGTTATCAAGGTTCCACTATAATCACAAATAACCTGTCAGTATTATGTATTAATTTTTGATCCTACATTGAGTTAAGAAAAAAAGTTGCAATTGCATCCTTTTTATGTTACCTTGGAACTTTTTCAGCATCGAGAACTTTGAGAAATTCCTGAATGAGTTGAAGGCCGGGTCAGTGGAGCCATACCTCAAATCTGAGCCAATCCCCGACGACAACAGTGGACCCGTCAAGGTAGCTGTGGCCAAGAACTTTGACGAGGTCGTCACCAACAACGGCAAGGACACACTGATCGAGTTCTACGCTCCTTGGTGCGGCCACTGCAAGAAACTGGCACCAGTGTGGGACGAACTGGGAGACAAGGTTGGTGAAGATTTGTAGTTTTTTTATAATAACGGGACCAATGAATTACAGTCAGTTTAAAAAAATTGCAATTGGGCCATCAACTTTCTGGCCTTCAAAGAGTACAGTACCAACTACTTATACTACGTGTAGTGTGGTAATGTGGCAACATTTTTTATTTACAAATAATTTGTAAAAGCATTTTAGCAGACAAAGAACATTTTAGCAGACAAACAAGCACTGTAGGCCATTAGCTACACAATATTAATATTAATATTAATATTAATTTAGTGTGGTTTAAAGATCAAACTGTAATGACTTTTAGAACACCATTCACTAAATTAATGTTTTATTATATTTAGTTATTACTGAAGTACGATTTTCAGTTGTAACATAGACCTAAAAACAACCATAGGTGAAAAAGTATATAATGTGCAATTTGTGTGCAAAGTGTCTTTATAAAACTTTATATTGATGTCTGATGCTTGAGGTTCGCTAGTTTAAAAAGGACTCCTCTTGTCACTAGCTGGACAACAACTATTATGATCCACTTGATTTACTTTGAGTTCACGTGCTATGTAGATAGTGCTCAGAGAATGTGAAATTGATTTTTGTTATTTTCAGATGAAAGACGAGGATGTAGAGATTGTCAAGATGGACGCCTCCAACAATGACGTGTCCGGACCTTTCGAGGTCAGAGGTTTCCCTACACTGTACTGGGCTCCTAAGGACAACAAGGCCAGTCCTGTACGATATGAGGTCAGTTGAAGCTGTATTAAAATTATTAGTTTACAAAATATGTATTTGAATATTTTTTGCGTTGGCTTGATAATGCTAATTAAGGTCATTTGAACACATTAATTCTATACAGTTAAATCTCTTTGAACTGCACCCTATCGAACTGAAACTCAGGTTAACCGAAACAATTCAATTGGAGAATGAACTAGGCTAAGGCAATGAGAATCGTCCACCTGTCTGGTCCAACAGAATGTAATTGAACACTCGATGACAGTAATCTCATCGTAATAAAGATAACATTAGGAAAACAATTATTGATTGTTCATAGATCTTTTGCATTCAGTGGTAGATTCTACCCTCCTATTGCTACGGCGGAAATAGTTTTATACTCAGTGTCATCATTGCTAAAAGCGTGAATTTTAAATAGCACGCAAGAATACCATGTATTAGTTCAGGACGGGAGACAATTTTTTTTTCCTGGTTTTTGGAATGGGATAGGAGATTATTCTATCCATGCAGATCGGGACTACATTTTTCTAGAAAGATTCCAGAGTTTTTTAGACTTGTCTATTCCTTTTTTGTAAATTGCCTAATTTTTGTTGGCTGTTTGACATGTTTTGGCTGCAAAGTTCAGTTAAGGCCGTGAAATTGTCCTACAGACTTGACTCACTTTATTTGCTGCGTACAGTCATGATATACGAAAATAGCATACAATTTCCCATCACATCTTCGTACGCTAGGCTCTAGTTCAAAACTGTTTTGCACAATACTTCAAGTTAGGCCTAGAGGGGTATAATATAGCTAATAGTCATGATTGGCTGGATTTGAACTAGGGACGTTGGAGACAGAAGCTCTACGCTGTACGAGTAGACCAGACTAGTTTGAATAACTTCAGAGATTGGATAGAAGATTCTCAACTACTGTAGGCGAGAGTTAAGAAGTCCTCTGAGCCAGAGTGATATGCAGCAATGTTTGTATGTTGCCGCTCGGTATTTGCAGGTGCTCTTTTGGTTTTAATGCAGTGGATGTGAGCCCTGACTGCCGCTTTAACATGATCAACCCGCCCGGCGCGCCTAGACGTCGAGTAGCAAGCGCCTGCATTTTTACAATAGGCCAGGGCTCAGAGGACTTCTTAACTCTCGTCTACAGTATAGTGTGTGTCTGTAGTCTTGGTATTTAACCTAAATTCAATTTGCAGGGTGGTCGTGAGGTAGAAGACTTCATCAAGTACATCGCCAAGTCTGCGACATCGGAACTCAAAGGTTACGACAGGAAGGGAAAACCGAAGGCCCAGAAGACCGAGTTGTAAGCAGCCAATGACCAAAGTCGAGAGAATTGTGTGACTGATCATCAGGAGCTTGAAAAAAGACACAGGTGGTATTTGAACAAATTCGGACTTAAAGCACACGCGTGGAGTGTTCTAATGCTGCAAGGCTTGAGTGATAGACAGTGTTCAAGTCTTATTATGTTAACAGGTAAAATTTAAATCAACGCTTTTAATTGCAATAAGCATAGTTTTGAGCCGCTTCCTATATCTCCACTCTCAAGTGTTATTGTAGGAAAATATTTTGAGCATTTAATCTTGTTATGTATTTTATTTATGTGTTTTTTAGGATAAAATAAAATTTAAAAGTATTTGAGTTTTGAAATAAAAATGAATTTTGTGGGCAAACTTAAAAGTTTATAGAAGTAGATGGAAAAAAGTCAATTAGGCTGTATTCAGGAATCTCCCAATGTTGTAAAACATGATGATGGTTTGGTAAATTATATTTTTAAGTTTGAAATGGGCTTGAAGAAATTTGTATAAAGTAAGAGTTAAGAATTTAATTTTTATTAGAAATAAAATAAAGTATTTAGCCAAATTAAGGGTTGTAACAACTATGGAGATAATGCAATGTGTGTACATGATCAAATGTGTAACCTACAAGTGTGTGTATATATTGTATTCGATGTTAATATTTTATACAATCAATATTGTTTTCCATTTATACTTGAATTTTTAATTTTCCCTCATCCATTCCGAGCATTTCTTAGATGGTTTGTATTAAATTTTGTTAATAAAAAGTATTTTCAATAAATGTTGTCCTCTTTACTTTCCTTGTGTTTAATGTAAAACAAAACTAAATTTTATTGGCATTGCTTTTATTTTAAGGTACATAATGTTAAAATTAAAACTGACACCAGCTAAATTGTTAGAACAAATTTCACAAGAAACATATCAATACATAAAACATTGTTTCAATGTATATGAATTTTAAGGGGAGACAGGTTTATTTGCAAAAAATAAAAACTGTGTATACAGTCGAACCTCTATATGACGAATTTCAAGGTGAAAATATTTACTGTCGAGGTATTTTTAATAAAGAAGAGGTTTGTTTTATCGAGGTTTAAAACTGCTGTTATTTGTTTAAAATAGGTTTCTCCACTCTACAGGCATGTGCCAAACAATTACTAGGACGAAGAGGGATGGATGGGGGTTTCATGTTGAGACTAGCTTCTGTTTGTTTTGAAAACTACATACTAAGGATATTTAAAGTCATGAGAAATTTGTCTTATACCTACAGGTCAAATATTTGCCCTGTAAAGGTTTTGTGCTAAGAATATTCGTTGTATAGAGGCAGTCCTAGCCCAGGTCACAGACAAATTCGTCTTATGGAGGTTACTAACCTAATTAATACGTTGTATAGAAGTGTTACATACTGTATACATTAATGTGTTGTTTGTTAGACATGGACATCAATTATATCAAATAGTAAAGATGCTCATGTGGCCAAATCAATCAAAATAGGGAAATTCACTTAAAGGACATTGAACTTTAATTACATCAAATTTTAATAGTAAAAATGGCAAATACTCATGCAGCCAGATGTAACAAAATACGTCTGCCGCAGCAAACCTGCTGACTAAGCTTAAAGTTGTTAGATTTATTCCTTACTTATATTTTGAACGTTTTGGGAAGGCAGTCGGGGAAGGAGCCTACCTTCTGCCACCCTAGCACATTTATGGGCAACCAACCATAATTAGGAGAAGGGTACAACCTATTGTGTAGGCTACTTTACTGAATACACTAGCCTGCTTTATATTGAACTAGCTGTAACCCGCGGGCTTTGCCCCGTTTAACTTCTTAATTTTCAAGATGATCTCGTTCGCATGGCTCAATCACGTCCTGGTTGAAGTTCGTTTGCTACGCTCACTCACCTTTAGGTTAGAGCTCGTTCGCTACGCTCACTTGCCTTCAGGTTAGCTCGTTCACTACGCTAACTCGCGTCCAGGTTGAAGTTCGTTCGCTATGCTCACTCACCTTTTGGTTGCAAATTAGCTGTTGTCATAAATGTAAAAGAAATGCACCCTGTTGGTAATCCTTGTAACTTTAATGCAATTGAACATCATAGAACAGAACCAACTTGTTTAATTGAAACAGCTGTTAAGATTCATTAATTCCATTTCTCATAAGGTTAACATGGGAAACTCCAGAGCCACTGGGGTGGAGCCGATTGGACGGATCACGAAATTGATGGTGTATAAACCTATTCCATGACATTCTACACGTATATACCAAGTTTCATGGCAATCGGTTCAGCGGTGTCTGAGTTTATCACTGCCAAATATACAAACATCCTCTTTTATACTTATAGAAGATTAAGTACAAAAAATACATAAATATCTTCATGATTCTGATTTATAACTATACAACTATTAATTTTCATTAACTGGATACCAAGTAAGGCATGTATACTATTTATAACGTTCCTTAATACATGACTAACTAAACTATGTAGCAAAACATTTAAGTAAATTTTGATTAAATTCTTCCCCATTCCCAAACATACAAAGTATAAATAACATTAAATTTTATAAGTATAGGTTTGCCGTTACAGAGAAGGCTACAAAGTGAGTTTATTTATCAAAACCTTAATAGCTTAGTATGAAAATAAATACATCCGATCAAAGGGTATCCATAAAAATAGGCAAACTAAAACAGTTTATCTATCCTCTATAAGAACAACATGGGAATTTTAAAGTAACAGTTTTTTAGCAAATTTCTATTACCTTAGGTCACATAGTAAGACCTGGACGGGGACCGAAGTAACTTTTGTTTTCAGGTCCCCACTGGCCAAAAAAAAAAACATTGTTCAAACTCATATACAGGGTGATTGATATAAGTGTGCCAGCCGTTTTATTCAAAAACCATAAGAGATATCAAAAAAAGTTAAATGGTAAGTGCCTTAGATTTTTTATTTAAAAATTTGTAGTCAAGTCAAAAAAATTATTTTAGCCGCCATTTTTCCAATATGGCCGCCAACTTTGATTTTTCTTATAGAACACCCTGTATTTTATGATGTATTCTGGTAGAAAATGTAATTTTAAGACGATTTTATTCTTGTAATTTTTTTCATAAACCTAACCGGTTCAAAGATAATAATGGTTTAAGTTGTGAAATTTTGAATGGTTTTCGAATAAAACAGCTGGCATGCTTGCTTAGGCCTTTATCGAAACTCTTTCTCATGCAGAAATTTCAAAACTTAGGCCCTAACCCATTATTATCTTTGAAACGGTTAGGTTTATGAAAAAAATCACAAGAATAAAATCGTCTTAAAATTACATTTTCTACCAGAATACATCATAAAATACAGGGTGTTCCATAAGAAAAATCAAAGTTGGCGGCCATATTGGAAAAATGGCGGCTAAAATAATTTTTTTGACTTGACTACAATTTTTTAAATAAAAAATCCAAGGCACTTACCATTTAACTTTTTCTGATATCTCTTATAGTTTTCGAATAAAACGGCTGGCACACTTATATCAATCACCCTGTATACATATTGCGTGCATTGTATACAATGAGAAAAAATTATCCGAATTTGTTGAAATTTCGTATAAACGTGTAGACTTACATTATTCAAACAAGTTTTTTTAACCAGCATGATCGGACAATAGGAATTGAGTTTTTATGGGGTCAAAATTGGTTTAACGAATTCTTGAATCCTAAAACATAAAATTTCACAATTTCTTTTCAAACAATTTTGTAGAGCTTAAAAATGAAATAATCTATATATATAATACGCTAAGCCGATTTTTGTAAACAGAACTCCTCCCTCATTTTTGGACCGATTTTGATGATTAAAGTGTCAAACAAATGGCCCTAATCTGTAGTTTTGCAAAGTGTTTTTAGATTTTTGATATCTTTATTAGTTTGGGCAGGATCTTCCATCAAAGTTGGGTTTTCTCCCATAAGACTAACATGGGGGAATCTAAATATTTAATTGGAAACTTTGTCTCCACTCTATATATATAATACGCTAAGCCGATTTTTGTAAACAGAACTCCTCCCTCATTTTTGGACCCATTTTGATGATTAAAGTGTCAAACAAATGGCCCTAATCTGTAGTTTTGCAAAGTGTTCTTAGATTTTTGATATCTTTATTAGTTTGGGCAGGATCTTCCATCAAAGTTGGGTTTTCTCCCATAAGACTAACATGGGGGAATCTAAATATTTAATTGGAAACTTTGTCTCCACTAATTTGAGAGAACGGCTGGGCGTAGAAACTTGGTAGAGGGGTCCAAAGAAAGGTCTTGGTCTGTAGATGAGTTATCAAAAGAAAAACGAAGTAAATTCGCTTAGGGCTCTGCCCCAGAAGCCTTTAAAGACCCCTCCACAGATTTGTTTACATTTTGGCCATGTGGATAATTTTTAATGAAACAGCTGTTAATTTTAATATTGTATTTTAAACAACACACATTTATTGGGAGTTAGAATAAATTGTCCAAAAGAAGTATTTTCAATGTTATTTTCTGATTTTAAAATTGATTTTCTTCCGTATCATATCATTTGCATTATTTGTTGCCAATGAAGCCGCACGACCATATAAATGAGGAGGCCCCTAACAGTTCAAGAATAAAATCCAACTTTACTTCAAGTATATTCCACTACGGTACACCTAACATTCTGTAGAGAGATTATATTGACAACTTTATGTAATTGATAAGGCTGAGACAACTAACTGAAATCTCCCATGTCAATGAATTCCAGCTTTAACAGTAACCCCACAACCAATTTCTCAAAACATTGCTAGAGAAATGTGCATAGGCAAATTTGTTTTGTGATTCATAGGCACAGAAGTACGATATGAACTGACACGACGTGACGAAGGAAAACTCAAACTTACACTGTAACGGATATACAGTACCTCCGCTTGAAGTTAGAACGTGTCTTCCCAACAAACAGATATTTTTTTCAAATAAAATCCTAGATTAATCTGCATTACACTGATGGAATCACGGAAGTGTTTAACTACAAAAGATCCACCAATACGATTTTAATACTGGTATAAAGGTTCTTCCAAAGGAAGAGATACCAGATAAGACTAATAGTATGGGAAATATTTTATTCATTGAATGATCAACCATATTTTGGTAACTAACGCAATTAATATCATTATTGTTTTTACACTTATTAATCTTTAAACAATGCTAAATGCTCAAAATATGTATAATTTCACTCAATTTATTGCAGCAGATGAATTAGCATACGCCTTGAAAGTAACCGTCGATTTCGACGGGTTTCACCTAGTTTAGTATATTGAAGCAATGTTATGCGCTTAATGATTAGGGAGAAAATTCCGTAGAACTATAATTATAATATTCTCATGTTACTCTTATGGAGAAAAAGTAATCTGTTGTAGTTTGCTTGCTTATAAAAAGATTTGGCTCAAATTTAGAAAATTTATTTATTTCCTACTTAACTATTGACATTTCACACACAAACACTATTATCTTCCCTGTAGCAGAAAAAACTATGTACTTGTTAAACTAATGTTATTTGAAGAGGGAATAAATCTCAAAATTTTAAGGAGATATTTTGTGAAAATATAATCAGGCAAATGGAAATTAACTTAGTCTACAGGTTTGCTCTCGCGGGTGCGTGGGGGTATTTATTATTTGTCTTCCTATCGATTGAGACAACTGAATAAAACCAATGCTTGTATCAAATGCATTCCTTTTCTTTCAATGTATGAAAAAGTTATTTGTTACCAAGACAATGGGACGGATTTAAAATTTGTCAGCTAAAGTAGTATCC